ACGGTGAAGGTAGTAGTCAAAATCCTGCAATCAATAATAGTCTGCCCTTGGATTGGGGGTCAAGTTCTGGAACTGCAGAATCCTTGCCTTCATTATCAGGCACAAGTGGTGATTCTGGTGTTGGTTCTTCTGGATTATCTAACAGAGTGACCCCTAATCAGTTGGACCATCTTCCTTCAACTGCCATTGGAACTTCAGTCTATAAAGGGAGTCGTGGGGCCAATGTTGTTGGTGATGGCATGAGGATGAATGTCAATGTAGTACCATATAGTCAGAGTTGTCAAGAGGACCCTAAAAGTCTTTTTGCTGATCTTAACCCATTCCAGATAAAAGGAACGGGCAAAAGTTCCCTGCAAAACAAACCTACAGAGACCAAAGCTGATGAGCTTCAGAGACAGAGAAATAATGTTGTTGTGGGGCGACCGCCAGTACCATTGATGTGGAAGAATCGACCTGCTTATAATGAGGTTCCTCAGAAAAAGGACTACAATTATATGGAGGGCCTCTTTCCAAAAATCAACCGTGAACCTAATGATTTTAATCAGTCATCATCAGCTTCCACCAGCTCTACCAAACCTGAAAAGGTCTATCCTCATGGTTTTAAGTCACCTGGTGATTTTGATATATCTACTAGAGATAATAAAATCAGGAGTTCTTCCTCTTGTACCGGGTCATCTTTGGCATCTACTACCAGTCAGTTCAATAGCTCACCACTGGCTGAGGATGGAGGTACTAAATTTAAGGAAGAGAATCTCAGGAATGGGCAGGATTTACAAAATAACACAGGGAACTTGGCTAACGAGCAAGATAATGAGATTGGTTTCCATGATCATAGAAAGTACACACAGGAGAGCTATATGGGGAATAATCTTAAATTAAAGGATCCAGAAAATCTTAGCGCATCAGTTGATTCCAGCATAGGCAGGGTTGATCAACTATTTGATGATGTAGATGTAGGTGAATGTGAAATTCCTTGGGAAGACTTGGATATTGGTGAAAGAATTGGACTAGGTAATGGATATGGCTCATTTTAGTTCTTTATTACAAGTGGCAAGTTTTGTAATTATGCAAAGGTCAATTATTGTCTATAAATTGTAAGGTTAGTTAGACTTGTATATTGTGTTTGTTATTTTGGAAATGTTCCCCTTTTTGATAGTTGAGCTCTTCTTATTCCTCATGAAAAACTTAAGAGTTTTAGATGCAGTAAGGTATTTTGATACTTGCTTTGCCAGAACTTATACTTTATTTTGGAAGTTTTCTAATTCTTATTAAAAAAAATTTTTGTGAGTAGGTTCATATGGAGAGGTCTACCATGCTGATTGGAATGGCACGGTTAGTTTATTCTCTTTTTGTACTTCAGTATTTCATAGTTATTGCAGTTTTCACTTTTTATGTCACTTCTGTGCCATCATCTACTAAGGGCTAGAGGAATTAGGTTTTAAGGTATTTAGAGAATTATTTATCAAAGGCATCATAGTGGGAATAGTGTGTTTTTAACTGAACCATAAATATACTTTTCTGGAATGATGTCATGAACTAAAATACTTAGGAGTTGTTTTAAAAATCAAAAGATTTCTCATTTTGTTGGTGGTAATGGTTATTGAACTGCAGGAGGTTGCTGTAAAGAAGTTCCTAGACCAGGATTTTTCAGGTGCTGCTTTGGCTGAGTTCAAAAGAGAAGTAAGTAACTCTTCAGCATTTATATTTCTGTCTCAAAATGATAGTAAAATGTATTGTGAGATATTTTAATTTATTCATTCTTCTCAATTAAATAATTGGCCATATACAAACTTAAGTCAAACTGCCATGGCAAACCTCCATGTCTAAGGCCATGGCAGTTAAGCCCAAATAACTGATCCTGGTTTTTCTTTTTGCTTTTTAACTTAAGGTGCGAATAATGCGTAGACTGCGTCATCCAAATGTTGTTCTTTTTATGGGTGCCGTTACTCGTCCTCCAAACCTCTCTATCATTACCGAGTTTCTTCCGAGGTAAGAGTCTGTGATTGCATATTCTTATCTTCTTAATGAGACAAACTTTATGCAAAGTAACACAGATACAATATGAGGTTGGCTGTCTATGACTGCTAGCGTGCATGTGTATTCATTTGACACGCCTGCAGATGCAGTATTTGGTGTTCTAAATTCTGCAATGTCATTTGGTTTTCCAGAGGAAGCTTATACAAGATTCTTCATCGTCCTCAATGCCAAATTGATGAGAAGCGTAGAATTAAGATGGCTCTTGATGTGGTATGGAATTATTGCTTCTGCAATTGTTTTATCTATGTTTTGACAACCGTATAATAATTTCAAATTTTGTTCATTTTGCAGGCAAGGGGCATGAATTGCCTACATACCAGCACACCAACCATTGTTCACCGTGATTTGAAGTCTCCTAATCTTTTAGTTGATAAAAACTGGAATGTGAAGGTAAATGATGTTTCAATGTCTTCATTTTTTGTGTTCCAATTTTTTTCTTTTATATTTATTTTTGCAAGTGTTACTCCCCCAAACATTCTCAATCTTGCTGTAGTCATTGCAAAATCTGGTGACAGTTCTCTATTGATCTAGTGGAGTTGGCTTGAGTGTTGAGCTATAATGGCTAGTTCTTACTTCCTCTTTCTGTTGATTCGATGCTTGTGTATGAATAGCATTATAGCAGTTCTCTCAGATTATGGATTTGCTAGTTTGTTTCTTATTGTTGCAAACTTTAATCTTGGCAACTTATTTTTATTGGTCACTTGTTTTTTGTTTCTAACTCGTGAAGCGCTGTTTTGTATATTATTAGTTTTACAGTGGAAAACTAACTAAATGTGTTTAATGTATAAAATCATCAAATACAACCTGCATAAATGTGAAGTCATAACAAGTTGGTAGTATTGTAGTCTGTGCATGTGCTTCTTTAAACTTTCTGGAGCTGCTAGTATTCAACCACGCCCTCTTTGGTTTATGCATCACTTAGGCTGCTTATCAATTATGAGATAGTTATATATGAGTTATCTACCCTTGTGGGGGCATGATTACACTGATTGACATATCTGATCTGGCATTTGATTGCATTCTGACACTTATGCTCATAATCTTATCCCATGTAGAATTAATGATTCCACTGGCTATAAACACCTTAAGACAAATTAAAAAAAAAAGAGAAAAAAGGCGTGAATTTTTTGAAACAACCTTTTTGTTGTTTTCCCAGCTAACTCAGGTTGTTCATGTATTAAATGCATAACTTGAAAATTGAAAACTAACACATTTTTAAAGAAACGAATAAGAGATGAAGGATGGCTGCTGTTAAATTCTTGCAGTGCAACCACTCATTGATAGCAAAACTGAATTATGCAGGTCTGTGATTTTGGGTTGTCACGCTTGAAGCATAATACCTTTCTATCATCCAAATCAACTGCAGGAACAGTGAGCGTCTTGACCTAGTATTTATTCTGAAGATATTGATACAATATGCAGCTTTTGTTATATTGACGTTCTTTCTACATGTCTCTGATTGAATTGACCTTTTTGTCTTAGCCTGAGTGGATGGCACCAGAAGTACTTCGCAATGAGCCATCAAATGAGAAGTGAGTTGTTTCTCCAGTTAATCCAGTTTTTATCCTTGGTTAGCAGATTGCTTAGTCCGGTATATTTCAACTGATTGTGCAATGCCTGTCATGTTGGTTTTCTGAGAATATGGTGAAGATAAGAAAATGTTAAAATTACATACCTTTATAGCAGCCCAAAAAGTCACCATGCTAATTACCAAGCTATCTGCCTTATTCTGTTGTCTCCATATAATTGCTTTAAATTACTTGATTAATTTTGTAGAAATTGTCCGTTGGCAATTTCTGACTGTGGCTAACTGTTCTTGATGGTTAGAGTTAAGATAACCAAGCTTAGATCTAACGGCATCTTTTGTTGAACGTATAGATGTGATGTTTATAGCTTTGGAGTCATTCTTTGGGAGCTTGCTACTCTGAGATTGCCTTGGAGTGGCATGAATCCGATGCAAGTTGTGGGGGCAGTTGGTTTCCAGAATCGTCGCCTTGACATTCCCAAGGAAGTCGATCCCTTGGTTGCAAGGATAATTTGGGAATGTTGGCAGACGTAAGTAAAAATATACTCGAACTCTACACTCAATGAGTATATCCTCTTTTGCAATATTAAATCCAGTCTAATTTATTACCTTATTGTTCCTAGTGATCCAAATTTGCGACCTTCATTCGCACAGCTTGCAGTAGCTTTGAAGCCCTTGCAGCGGCTCGTTATTCCATCACATCAAGACCAATCAAGCTCGCCTTTGCCACAAGAGATTTCAGTAAATTCTACACCCTGAAATGTTCCCAAGTCCTCAATTGTGAATGAGAAGCATCCTGTTTCTTTCCCTTCGATGAGGGTAATGTATTCAAATTTTCGACGAAGGAATGCAAGGTAGGAGAGAGAAAGGCTCTTAGGCGAATGGTTTGTGTTCATATTAATGTACTCATGTATTGTTGCCCCTGCTGCACAAAAACTAGCAGCAGTTTTTGTACAGTCGGATGTCCATAGTTTTGTTCAAAAAGAACCAAAAGTTTGTAATGTATATGTCAAAAAACTCTGTACAACAAAGGGAAAAAAAGTTGTCATTATGAATCAAAAGAATTTTTAGTTCCATTATATGCATGAATTAATCTTGTACTAATATATGTATATAGTGATTAGCATCTTCCTAGCTCAATAATATCTAGGAAAACTAAGCAAAAGAAATGTGACCGTCACATGGGTTCTATTCTTTCTTACAAGTTTAAAATCAATTCTATTCCTTGATGGAATGGGTTCTGTCTGCCATATTTTATATATTGTTTTTTTTTACCATTAATAAAAAATTAAATAAATTTTAATATTACTTATTACGAATTTATATTTATTCAAGATCTATTTCATTTTTTATTGATATGAAATCTATAATATATTAACATTATTACCAACTCCTGCAGAACACATGCGAAGTTTTAAACTTTGGACTTCGATTTTAATTTTTCTTGATTTTCAATTGAAAACATTGAATTTTATTTAATCTCACGACAATTCATAAAACTACAGGAGATATTTCATTGTAAAATTGTTTTTTCCTATTTTGGTTTAATCTCACAAAATATAGACAGGATTCAATCCCATTTCCAAACAACATTTTTCTTTAATCCATCAATAGACTAGGGCTCCAGTAAAGTCGCCTTATTATTCTAAAGCCTTTTTAGAATCCAAGAAGACAACAAAAACCATCCATTAGAAAGATCCATGTGCTGCTTGACAACCAAGTTCTCTGCTCCATATTTCAAACCTCATGATCTTGACATTTTGAAGCTAGGATGGTTTATCTCAAGGCTCGAAAACCATATTCTCCGCTTCCCGCTTCACAGACTCGAACAGCACGGAAGAGAGATAACGCTCTCCAAAGCTAGGGAAGATCACCTGTTTAGGTTCAAAATTAAAAGATTAGTATTAGATTCAACTAGCTAGGGGTGCCGGAAAAGAAAAGGTATTTTATTGAGTCCTGGAATCTTATACCATGGAAAACATTATACATGACCTAATGATATAGTTTTGTTTAACAAGAATGCACATCCCCTCAAATGAGAATAAAATACCATAGTCCCTATAATTTAGCACAAGCATATAGAACCAAGAACACTACATTATATGTAATCAAATCACCCTATAATCATGCATATACCGGTATTTGTCAAGTCAGAGTCTTTTGACATAAATGTCACAATAATCCTTTTTAATTGATGTCATTCATCTTTGTCTGTATTGCCTCATGGTATGTTCCGACAGAATGATGCAGGAGTGACTTCAAAAATAAATAACAAAACTTACAACAATGAGCTTCCCAGCATTTTCTGGCCTCTTGGCTATCTGAATTGCAGCAGCAGCAGCTGCACCAGATGATATACCTACCTGCAATACATGTTTCAAACATTTATCACTAAAGGAAAACGCAGAAAAAATCCAACAGAAACTTCATGGAGTTGAATCATGTTTCCTTGTGAACAAGTACCAAATAAAGCTGTGGACCACTTATCAAATAAAATTACTAAAACTAAAGAAACTTACCAACAATCCTTCTTTCAGAGCAAGTTGCTTTGCTGTTTCAATAGCTTCTTCACTTGATATCTGCAGCCATAAAGGTAACCAATCATTTCAAGGAACAACAATAGCAATACATGCATGGGGGAAAACCTACAATATGAAGAAAGCATGCTGATGTGTCAAATACCACCATATTGCCTTCCCTATAATCATCCATAATATATATTGAATTTTTTATCCCAGCAGGTTAGTGAAATAAGGAAAACTGGTATTCTAAATTATGACATAGGAACTATAATCTGAATAAATAAATGGCGTTGAGACTTACTTGAACAACTTCATCCAGTAAGTTGACTTCTAAAACCCCAGGGATGAAGCCAGCACCAATTCCTTGGATCTTATGTGGTCCTTGAACATTCAAAAACCCAAGCAGTCCATCAATTGATAAAACATTCTTATAATATCTTATGTTTAGCTTGAGGAACATAAGAAAACAATTTTCAATTAATAGGCAAACACATAAAATAATCTAACTACAAGATCTTACGGACAAAAGACAATGCTAATATGCTGGTTATTGAGGGCAAATATAGAAGAGTGTTTTTTTCCTTTTTTTATAATTGGGAGAAGGGGGATTCGAACACTACTTTTAGGTAGGGGGTTCATGCACCAACTAATGAGCCAAATGCTCGGGTGCAAATATAGAAGAGCTTTCAGGGTCAAATTTTCAAATTTCATGTCAATCAAATATTACAATTTGAAATGGAAAAAAGTCACCAAATTAAAGGCTAAATACTTGAACCAAGAAAGTTTAAGAGCTTAATAACTTATCTCTAAACTTTACCTATGGCGAGTGGAGCATCAAGCAAATCATTGTTTACACAGAATGACTTAATAGTTCAATGGAAGATATTTCCTTCTTAATGTTCTTGACATAGAACAAGAACAGGTCAGGAATACTTACTCAACCAGCCCAAGGCTTCCATATGTTTAATATGGAAGAGACCTAGTTAAAAAATGAACCTACATAGCACTGTGTTCTATAGAAGGACCTATAGCCTTAGGATGCACAGAATTAGGAAATCCTCCAACACTTCAGTGTACGAAGCATGGAATGGGTGGGCTACTTCTACCCAGTAAGTCAATCAAACATCAGCATCAACCAACAGAGGAACCTAGTGCATGAAAAGAAGTGGCTATTTAATGAATGCAAGCACCGGAAGTTCTTCAATGCTTAAAAAAAATTAGGCATAAAAACTTAAATGGCTATATCAAATTTTAATATAAATAACCATCAAATGAACAGAGTATAGAGTTGCTGAAAGAAGAAATATTAACCAGACGAAAACGAGCACCAAACACAACTTCTAAGAAAATAGGAAAATCACTAATTAAGAAGTTCTCATAATTACCTTCTAGATACAAAGCACAGTTCCTATCTCTTAGCTAGCTGTTGTAGATTGTAATAAAACAACAGAAGTGCAGAAAATAGAATATGCAGTACAAAGAACAACGTGAACAAGAACATTTTAAATGTTACAACTAACCAGGTTTCCCTCCAGATAGCACTGCACTTTCAACTGGTTCCACACCAATTAGCTGAACAGAAAAAGGCAAGAGGCAATAAGCAACATGAAATCATACATAACTACAGGCAAACACAATTTAGTAATTGAAGTTACAAATATATTACATCTAACAAAAGAACCGAAAGCCTAACCTTAATGTCAGAATTTTGCTCTTTGAGATACTTCCCTGCTCCTGTTACAGTACCTCCAGTCCCAATCCCAGAGACAAGAAAATCTACCTTCCCTCCAGCGCCTTTCCATATTTCTGGCCCAGTTGTCTCATAATGGATCTAAAACAGGAAAAAAAGAATCAAATCATTACTCCGTCCAAGGCTCGGACCACCAAATATGTGTGAAAATGTTTCCAAATGATACCTTTGGGTTGGCAGGGTTTTCAAATTGCTGAAGAATGTAAGAATTAGGAGTCTTTTCCATAATTTCCTCAGCCTTCTGAACAGCCCCTTTCATGCCCCGGGCAGGGTCTGTAAGAACCAGCTCAGCTCCAAAAGCTCGGAGGACCATTCTCCTTTCTAAACTCATTGAAGAAGGCATAGTAATTATGAGTCTATAACACTTCGCAGCTGCCATAAATGCCAATCCTATTCCGGTATTACCACTGGTAGGCTCGATCAGGACACTCTTCAGCATATAGGAACAAGGGAAACTTTGTCAAGTTAAAACTTTTCTCCTTAAGTTTATCACTCAAAACTACAAAGGTAACGTTGACAGGAAAGCAACACAATCAAGAAAATAGCTGGAAGACGACCCTACTTTTGCACATAAAAATCGCGCAGAATTTGGATTTGGATTTAGAAGGAACAAACACTTGCAAGCCCTAGAAACTTCAACAGAAGCCACAATTCTTCTAATTAGGTTACAATTTCTATCTCTGCTAAGCTTTTTTTTTTTTTTCACAATCCTGACATTTTATGTAAGTTTTAATGGTTAATCACAGATGCTTTTCAAGTTGATAACAGCGCATAATTTTATTGTATAGCACAGTGACAATAGTATAATCTACTCAAAACTTTGAAGAGTTAAAGAAACAGATAAAGGATGAGGTTTATAATCCCAATAAGTTTGCACAATCGTTAGTCTCTTTTAACTAGAAAGATAGTTGCTATAATACTTGCACAAGAGCACCATGACTAAAACAATCACTCTATTTCCACAGGATGCGACAAACTTACAAACATTTACCAGCAACAAGGCCAACATTATGAATATCGGCAAAAGAATAGCAGAAGTCAATGTATAATTTTACTTGAAAAGTGACCTAACATAAACTTGAAAATTTGATTAAAAATGTCGAGGTAAGAAAGATCTAAAATACCAACCTCACCGGGTTTAATGAGACCCTTCTCCTCTGCATCTGCAATCATACTGTACCCAATCCTGCAAGCAAAGTAGATTTTGCATCTTAGCAAAGATCACAACTCCAGCCGTAACTGAATGCATCATCATAACAATGATTATATCAAATCGAGTTTGACATGTTTTCTGATACATCTTTGAATGTAAAAAAGGTGGAAATGGTTTAATACCTGTCCTTGACACTGGAGCAGGGTTCCATCGCCTCCAATTTTGCAGCAATTCGAGCCACGCAGCCATCCACAACATTGTTCAGATATACCAATGGCGTTTTACCAACCAACTATTCAAGTCAAACCGACAAGATTAAGGCTAGCAGTAGTTTTCTTAAATTAAACACAAATAAATTCCTATAATTTTGTTTCTGAAGATGAACAATGGGCTTACTTCAGTAACATCTTTGGCAATTAAACTCTTCTCCGCCATTTCTTCTCAAGTTACTGCACAAGCATACAACAGCTGATTTTTTTAGCAAAACAAACTAAACCAATGGACTATTGACTAAGTAGCCACAATTAAAACAAAAAAAAAAAAGACATCTGGAGTGCTTGCAGAACAATTTCAATAACTTAGAAATAGCAATTAGGGACACTTCAAAATTTTACCCTTCAGAAAAAATTGTTGGATTCGTCTACAATTGGTATACAAAACAGACTCTTCGTGAAAGAGAAACAAAGGGACTAGAAATGATCGTGATCTTGATCAATCTAAAAATCAAAACCAAATCCCCTGAAAGTTACAGTAATCAGGAAAAAACACCCATACTCCAAGACATCAAAAAGAACACAAGTAACCAACGAAAACCATAAATCCAACCTTGAAAAACACAAACCAAAACTAAAAAACTTGACAGATGTTAAAGCACCCAAACCCCAAGCTTGAAAATTTCCCAAGAAAGGCAGTTTCTTTTCACGACAACCTTTGAAACAAAAATGATAGATAAGCTAAAATGTTAAAGACTTTAAAGTAATAACCTTAACTAAACTGAGAAACAAGAAAGCACCTTTGTAGCTGAGACTCTCAAAGATAATTCCTGGGATTTTATGTTTGCGCCTCTCAAAACCAACGCCTACCAGCCGGTTATATAGTATACAAACAAAAATACATATAATATTTATTTGGCTTAACGGTGTTGTCCGGTAAAGAAAGTTTGTGACCCCTGGCGTTTGGTGACTTGGGAAAGTCAATACCGTCGCCAGCGTAATGCTTTCCATTTTTGTCTTTGTTTGTACCTTTCTGTAATTTTGGGCCTTTTTTGGGGATATTGTCTAGGCCATGGCCCATGGGTCAATGTCAAAAAGAACATTGACTTTACCCATTCAAAGTCGCTCAAAAGTGTCCTTTCTCTTTTCTTTTACTTAGTGTTTTCTCTATTTTCAATGTCTTAATTTTTTTTTCTTGAATAAGAAATTCGAACTTTAACATCAATCTTTCTTTAAAAAAAAAAAATAATGTCAAGCATAATTTAAATTATTATTTATTTTATTTCCAATCATAAGAGAACATGACTCTATTTCGTAATTTAAAATTGTCTGAAATCTCATGATACCTTCATAAGTTATTAATTTTTTTTATTTAATTTTAATTAAGATTTAAATTAAGTAAAATTATTTTTTTAAAAAAATAGTGGGTTCTGAGTATTGTTTAATTTTTTTTAATTTTGAAAAAATTATCGCCTTTTCCCTATTGCGGTGGTTATGGGTCATCGATCAGTGTCATAGAACATTCATTTTAGCATTTTTAGTCAAACATAGAACTATTGGAATTGCGTAAAGATGCAAATAAGAACATTGACTTTAGCATTTTTTGTCAAACATGGAATTATTGGAATTGCGTAAAGATGCAAATGACTTTTGTTGAATTTCTGATTTTCTTCCCTTATTTTTTCATATCTTTTTATTAGTTTGAAGGGAAAAAAAATAAATATTTTTTAATATCAAATAATTTATTTAAGACATAATATATAAAAAGCTCTTAAATTATTTTAAAAAAATTAAAAATTATTATTATTTTATTGTGTTCAATTATGTCGTTATTTTTTTTATTTTTGTTCGTATAAGCTTTCATAAGTATAATTAATATTATTAGATAAAATATCATTTATCTTTATATGTCATAATATTAACGTATTATGCTGATATGTCGTAATAAATATGATTTCATAGTATAATTATATAATATTTTCACCGTCAATGTCACGTTAATGCCATGAGAACATAAAAATGATAAGTGACATTTTAGTTAATCAGCTATTAATCAAAAAAATTTATTTAATCAAAAATAAAAATATAAGAATTACATTTTTTGAATTATTTAGGTATTTTTTAAAAGTATTAGGCCTTTCCTTAAATCTAGATGATATTAATTGATAGCAAAAGGTCATTTTATGTGAAATTTTAAAATAGATTAAAAACTTATTATCATCTAGAAAAAAATTGTTAATTTATTAATTTCTATATTTGCATATAACATATTATAATATATTTTTAAATTTAATTATATATATAATAATCGAAGAGTCTCTTCTACTTATTTCATTTATTCTAAATTAAATATTTATTAATCATTCCACCGCGTTCCCTTCACTAACCTGGCAGCACTTTAATGGAATGAATAAGTAACATTTTCATATTATATATATATATATATTTAATACCCTTTCTTGGGGGGATAATGATAAGTATTCTAATCCATTATTAGCTGTAATAATTAAAAATTTAACAATAAGATTTGATGGTGTTTGATTGATATCCCTGATCTTAACGTGGAGTTGGGAGTGACAAAGCAAAAGATAATACTAATATGATATATTCATAGGGGCAAAATTTATATAAAAAAATTAAAAACATGGTCCACATGAATATTATTTAATCAATGGACACATGCTATTTCATCACATTACAAGTTATAATACTAAATACAGATATATATAGTTATCTACAAGTTTTCCGGATCTCCTCTGTCAATGTTTGATATGCCGGTCAGTTTTGATCCTCTTTAGATCAGGTTCTCTTTCTTCATCAAAGCCACTACTTTTCTCTTGCTTAAAAAAGGGGAACAGTGTATCGACATCAGTGACTGTTGTTATTAGGGCTATCACAAGAGTACATTGACTTGCTTGCAGTATGATCAGATATGATGTCAAGCTTCAAGTCAATGCAGGCGTCCTGATCCAAATTCACTCTGTTTTCCAGGAGAAGAACTCCAACATTTAAGACGTTGGTAATGACTATCTAAAGCGAGAGAACCATTTAATTTAGTCCCATGCTGGCACTCTGACGGCAATGCTTCGGAAGGAACATCCGGAACCACCTTAGACAAATGAGCGTCGCAATCATTAACAGAAACCAACCCAAGATCTTCAGATGCCCATACTTTCACAGCATCTAATCCTCCCTCCAGGGCTTTGACTAGCATTTGCAATTCATCGATGGTGTAGCGAAGGAGGACAAATCTGTCTTCATCTTGGCATGAGCAGAAATTCTTTACATGTTTCAGACATGCGAATCGCTCAGGAGAGCATTTGCAGCTGCAGGCAGATAGATGCAAGTCGTAGAAGCAAGAGAAACATTCCCTCTCATTTTCCAAATCAAAATCTTTTTCCATCTTTAGCAAGGGTAAATGAGGGTTAAGGCACTTCACTCTTTTCTCCTCCATCTGCACACTCATCCTAACAGCCTTTGTAAGCATTCCATCCTTCCCACAGACACGGTTCCACCTCAAATTCCCTGGAGTTTCTCTGCCAAGAACAAATAACTCCCTGAGAGCTTTAATAGCTTGCCTAGCCGATCCTAAGAGCAGCTTGTCATGGGACAGCGATGTTTTTCGGTGCTGCTCACTGTAGAGCTCCACTGCATGTTGACCATGTTCTAGCCAATCAACAGGAGCAACATTCACTGCCTCTGCACAGTTGAAACCACAATTAAATCCAGAGTGGTATCCCCTCGGAAAGGTAAGAACAAACTCCCCAGAACGTTGTACAGCTCGATAGACTGGTACACCCTCAGCTTTCAGAACTGAAGGAGATAGTTGAGTAACCAATCCATGAAGTAAGTCCGGTTGTTCTTCAAACAAATCAGGCAGATGCTTTCTCATTGCAGCCTCCAAAAAGGAAGCATGGCTTCCGGGCACTCCATACCATATTTTTGGATCACCCCAGTGCATGTAGTTTAGTGAATACAGATGGTGGTCCTCAACATGCCAACAAAATGATGAGAAGCACATCCCAACATAGAGCCATGGCACTACAACTCCAGATATATCACATCCTTCAAACGATAACACTGAACCTGGCAGCCGTGGCAAATTATTTAGGTTCCAACCTGACATTGCATATATATATGCATCACTTCCAGTTCCAGTCAACATAGATGATGATGCCTTAGGAAACCCACTGCCAAAGGTTCCTGTTTCCAAGTCAGCTCCATAATATACCTCAACCTCATCTGTTGGCTGCTCTACTATCCGCCAATATTCACCTTCAATATCCTCCCAAGACGGCTCCCATTTCCTGCATTCATCCACAGGAGGCTTTGAATCCCTTCGAAAGTACATCTCCTTAAATTCATCTGCATGTCTCTGAAATTCTTCAAGAGTGAAGTCTGATCCTGAATGGAACCCAAACTGCTCATCAGCCTCATAAGTTATCTTAGATTCTGAACTAGAATTGGCACGTCTGCTAGTGGCTCCCATTCTTGAATGTCTGCTGCGCTTCCGCTTTCGACTTCTACTCTTCTTTCTCATTGGCTCCCTATTTTGAAGTAAGTCAACTTGCTGAATTCGAGTTGAAAATTTAGCATGTTCCCATATATCTTTGTCTTTAAGAAGACAAGGTGGAGTCCAAGAAGGTGGTGGAACGATCCGACATATACCATATGATTCAGCTTCGGGACGAATCTTTTCTATGTAGGCAAGTGTGTCTTCAAATTCCTCAACAGTTGGATAAAACACTGGTGCAGCATCAATGATAGGCCTGCATGCTTCATCGGGAACCCATCTTGCAGACATCTTTTTCAACTGCTCCATTCACTTGGGAAGGAAAGAATTATGAAATATATATCTAAATTATAAAATAAGGGTTTTTTTTCTTGTAAGTTGTTAGAAAAAAAGGAAAGATTCTAAATTGGCAGAAAGAGTTTTTAGGTTTGTTTGAACGAAGAAATCAGAACACAGTCCAAATCACATTCCTCCCTAATTTAAATAGCAAAAACATATGGCATCAATAATCGCTTTTTGCCCCAATTCAACTAAAACTTTAAAACCAATTCCAGAGAGGAAAGATCTTAATTAATCCCAATCCAACTCTAATTTCCCTCAATTAATTAGCATGAACTACAATATTAAGTAAAAAAAAATCTTTTTTTTTGACTTGGTAAACCGTATAAAAAAGGTAAGGTAAAAGAAAAATTAACCATCAAGCCTATAAAGTTTAAAATATTTATTAAAAAAATGATTTAGGCCCAAATTAAACCTTCAAAAGCTCAGTTCCACAAACCAATTGAGGGTTGGTCTGAACTTGAGCTTTCCCAAGTCCAGCCTTAAACCAAGGCCCAGGAGAAAGTTGGAACAAACCCCAGACTTCCAAAGCCTAGTCCAAAAACATTAGGTCCACATGGAGCGAATAAAAATTTTAAAAAATTTATAAAACGTGTATGTTACACATTTTATTAAAGTTTTTAAAAGAAGAATAATGACTATTAACACTTATTTATAAGTCATAATAATTTATTTTTATTAGTCTTTTATTTAAAAGAGAGATTCAAATTTTGTTTTTTTTTTTTTTAAGAATGAACCCAAAACTTATTCATAATAAAAAATTATTTTTTAAGCAATGTTTTCAAAAACAAAATGCATATTTTATTTTAATTTCGTAACAAAAAAAACTTCCTTAAATAGTGGATTTTGAGTCTTGTCTAACTTTTTTAATTTTAGAAAATTTATCTCCTTTTTCTTTTTGGGATGCCTTTGGGTCATTGGTCAGTGCCATAGAACATTGATTTTTGCATTTTTAGTCAAAGATAGAATTATTGGAGGAATTGCGTAAAGATGCAAAATGGCTGTTTTGAATTTCTGATTTTCTTCCCTTTTTTTTGTATCCTTTTATTAGTTGAAGGGAAAAAAATAAATATTTTTTAAAATCAAATAATTTTTTTAAACATAATATTTAAAAACTCTTGAACTTTTTTAAAAAATTTTAAAATTTTTTATTTTTTGATTATATTTAATTAAGTTTTTATATTTTATTTGAAATCAAATAAATTTTTATTAGTTAAAATGTTTTTTATTTTTATATATCACGTGACATCGACATGATACACTGACGTTTTATAATAAATAATAATGTAACATATTAATATATTATGATAATATAATTAAATGGTATTTTTATATTCTATGTTAGTGCCACGTTAATATCATGTAAATATTAAAATGATAAGTGAAACTTTAGTTAATCAACTATTTATCATAAAAATTTATTTGATTAAAAATAAAAAAATAAAAATTTGATTGAATACATTTTCTTGAATTGTTCATGAGTTTTTAAAAGTAATATGCCTTTATTTAAATCCAAATGACATAAATTGATAGCGAATGATCATTTTATGTGAATTTTAAAATAAATTAAAAACTTATTATCATCTAGAAGAAATTGTTAATTTATTAATTTCTATATTAGCATATAACATATTATCATATATTTGTTGATTTAATTAAATAACTAATAATTGAACAATCTCTTCTACTTATTTTCATTTATTCTAAATTAAATATTTATTAATAATTCCACAACGTTCCCTTCACTAACCCGGTAGCATCTTAATGGAATGAATAAATAACATTTTCATATATATTTAGTATCTTTTTCAGGGGATAATGATAAGTATTTTAATCCATCATTAGCTGTGATAATTAAAAAATTTAACAATAAGATTAGGTGGGATTTATTTTTAATTATTTTATTAATTATTATTAAAAACATGATCCACGTGAATATTATTCTATCAATGGGCACATGCTATTTTATCATGGTACAAGTTATAATACTAAAAAATAAATACATATAATTATATTTTCTTATTTTATGTAGTATTTGGATCAAATCTACCTATTATATCTGATTAATACAGTTGATCTTCAGTTGTTGAGAGAACAGAACCGTCAACCAAACTGATTAGTTTCAGAGAGAGAGAGAGGAGGAGAAACATGGAGGAAGCAAAAGGTGTTGTGAAGCACGTATTGCTAGCAAAGTTCAAAGATGAAACCACAGCTGAGAAGATTGAGGAACTCATCAAAGGCTATGCCAATCTTGTCAATCTCATTGAACCTATAAAAGCTTTTCAATGGGGCAAGGATGTCAGCATTGAGAACCTGCATCAAGGTTTCACTCATGTGTTTGAATCCGCATTTGAAAGTACTGAGGGCATTGCAGAATATGTGGCTCATCCTGTTCATGTCCAATTCGCAACCTTGTTCCTAGGCCACCTGGAGAAGGTACTTGTTATTGACTACAAGCCCACCGTTGCTCGTTGCTAAGTTGAAAAAAGTATAGAACTTGTTGTCTTGTCAGGTATCCTGCAATCTAGTTTCTGAATGTTGAGTTTTTCATGGTTCTTGTCCTGTCTGTTGGATTAAATAGAAAGATATCTTGACAACGTCTTGACGTCCTGTATCAACGCTGTTCTTGTTCTGGAATGTTTCTTTTGACACAAACATTGGGCTTGAGTGATTCCACCAGGGTCACCAAAGCTCAAAATTTGAATACAATCTTTGTTTTTTTTTAAAAAAAAAAATTGATTAATATCATTTTGTTTTCTTTTCTGCACGTATATTTATTTTAATTTTAAATTACTTAATATAAAAATTAAAATTTCTTAACTTATCACAATTCACACCAATACCTCTAAAATATACGATTTTTTGATTTACTGTCCATATTAACGCCTATGATGTATATTGTTCACTTTAACTCATTGACTTCACAGTTTTATCTCACAAAAGGCACGTCACATATTGAAAGTGGTATGAATCCTTAAATGTTTAATGTTAGTCACAAAATTCCACATCTAAGAAAAAATTCTAACAAAGAGTTTTCAAGAAACTTCCAACAGATGTAAGTGAGGATGTCATAGTGATAAGCCACAAATTTCATATCGACTATGTACTAAAGTAAGTAATACACTTGTGAGGTATCTTTGTGAGATAAAACCGTAAGGTCAACGGGCCAAAACAAACAATAACTCATAGAGATTGTGTGGATCATGACAATTAGTATAAGAGTGGACTCTGAGTACTACTGATGTGTCATTGAAGATGGTGAGCCTTTGTTGAAGGCAGTGTGCCCTTGTTGAAGTGACGGAGGATGCAAAAGCACTCACATGGACATGAATTACATATTGTCAAGCAAATGCTTCCAATGAAAATAAGAGAGGGGATACCTTGGCCCTAAAAAAGGAAACCATGAATCTCACATCGGTTAATACTGTAGGAGTTCACACCACTTTGACTTGTGAGGCATTTTTTGTGAGATAAAATTATAATATCTCATAATAGTTAATATGGATCGTGACACCTAATATTACTCCAATACCCTTCTTTAGGAGCTTCTCTTCGATGGGCATCTGTGTGATGCCCAGTGCCACTTTAGTAACCTTCTTTAAGAGCTTTTTTTTTATATGAAATTTAAAATAGTATTTTTTTTTTATGTGAGATTCACATAATTTCATACTAAGACTAGGACACTAGAAAATATATTTAATTATTGGGGATAAATATTTTATTACATGCGAAATATATTTCAATTATTTAATTAAAATCTAAACTTTGGTTCATCAACTAATAGATGACTATAAAGTTTACGGTATTGAGTAAAAGGCAGCATATACGCCCAAACAAAATCAGACCCAAAATTAAGCCTTCTCAAGCCCAGGTCTACAAACCAATGGAGAGTTGGTCTGAACTCAAGTCTAGCCTTAAACCAAGGCCCAAGGGAAAATTGAAACCCTCCCAAGACTTCCAAAGCCCAGCTCAAAAACATTGAGTCAAAGTCCAATACATAAAAAATAAAAAACTTTGTCACGTTTAATTACCGAAATAGATAAAAATAAAATAAAATAATTATTATACAGTTTGATATGATAAATAAAATAAAATAAAAATAGTTATTATGATTTATAATAGTTTTTAGTTGGTAAAATAATTTTAGAATAAAAACGAAATATAAAATAAAAAGATAAAAATATTTTTTATTAAATATTATTATTTTATTTTTAAAATATTAACATTTTATTTATAATCTACTTATTAATATTATAAAATATTAATATTTAAAATATTATAAAATATTAATATTTTATTTATAAGTTAATAATTGATTTTTTAAAATATTAATATTTTATTTATAATTTAAATGCTATTATGATTATTTAGTTTTATTTAATTTTATCTTTTAATTTTCATAAAAATATTAATTTTAACTTTTAAATATTAATAATTTATAATTTATTTAAAATATTAATAATTGATTATTTAAATATTAATATTTTATTTATAAGTTAATCATTAAAATTATTAAAATATTAATTGTTTAAATAACTTTGAAATTCAAAATATTTTATAATATATAATTAAAAACTTAAACTTTTTATTATAGTCAAATTTATTTTTTTCCTATTTCCATTTTCATTTTTTAATTTATGTTTTCACTTAATAATTAGAAATTAATATTTTAAAATATGAATATTTTATTTAAATTAAAATATATTATAATTAAAATATTAAAATATAAATAATTATTTAATTTTTAATTTTAAAAACTAATTTTATAAGTTTAAGTTTGTAAATTTTGAAAGTAAGTAAGGACATTTTAATCTAAAATATTTTGACTTTGTTTCTATAGGTGTGGAATAGCTAATACTATGGGGAAAGTAATACTAGCTATCCCAAGCTATTGTCGAGTTTTAAAGAATAGTTATTCTTTTAGAATGGCTACTCCTTCCTCGAAAAAAAAAAAAAACCAAATGAAAGGGAAAATTTTTTCAAAGAATAAAAAATGCATTTGAATCATAACACTTAACACATTCACAATACGCCTATTAGCAACACGTGAAGCGCTCAAGAAGTAAATAAAATGTTTTAATTTCACATCAAGTAAGTAAGAGAATAAGCTTATAAGCTTTGATGTTGTGCATTTCATCATGTGTGTTTTTTGGAAGGAGAGTAATAGTCTTATAATAAAATATCATAAAAGCGAATTCAACTTATATTGGATTCATATCAAGCATCTTTAGAAGGAGACAAACAATAATATGGAATCAAGTGAAAGATAATGTTACATTAAGTATTTTAAAAGAAATAAATAGAATATTTTAATCTTACATCAAGCAAACAAGAATATTTAAGATACTCATAAATGTAAATGATATACATCTTATTAGATTAATTTTTTTTAAAAAAAGTAATGATCTTGTGATACTTATATAAAGTCGACATCAAAATTATAATAATCTATCTTTATTGTTGTTTTACTTGAAAAATGAGACATTCAAATTTTGTTTTAATCTCAAGCAAAATATAATTAGTAATATTTGATACTAAACTTTTTGAAAAGAAACAAAACTTTTTTTTTTGGTGTGAAGCAAAGTTTTCAAAACAAAATAGCATATGTTATTAACTTCATAACAATAAGAAAAATCCTTAAATTACATATTATCATCTCCAAATAGTAATAGTCTTTCCCTACAATAACAAAATTTATTTCCATATTTTTATCATTATTTGACCAAAATTAAGTTAGATATAATAAAAAATAGTTAGCAACATAAATTTGTAATTAGCAATTTTACTTTTTTTTTTAAACTTAATAATTCATTTCCGCTTCCCCGCCGCTCGACCAAACCTTTCTTTCTTCCCACCACACTCAAAGGGTACTTCCGTCATTTCAGGAACTCCATATATATGGAACCATAGTACCGTACAATTTCACCGTCCATCACACAGATCTCGAGCTCTTCATTTTATTCTTTTTTTCTGCCTTTCTCGCAAACAGCAATCCAAACCAAAGCCTCTCTCTCTCCCTCTGCTACTCAATTAAGTCTTCATCGTGGCCTAACTGAACTGGAGCTGAACGGAGCAACTGCAATTTTGAGCGCAACGTCATGGGAGTCCCGGCGTTTTACAGGTGGCTAGCGGATCGGTACCCGCAATCGATCGCCGACGTAATTGAGGAAGAACCAAGAGAAGACGGACTTGGAAATCAAATACCAGTTGACGTCTCTAAACCTAATCCTAACGGCCTCGAATTCGATAATCTTTATCTCGACATGAACGGGATTATTCACCCTTGTTTTCACCCCGACGGCAAGGTAAATTTGTAGAAAGCCAGTCAAAAATACCTGTCGATTTTCTTGTTCTTTGGATTTTTTTTAATTTTATTTTTCAGTTTAATGACAGTGAAATTATTTTAGCTGAGGCTTTGAAATTTGAAATTCTTAGTATTAAAATTCATGGAGGAAACGTGCTTTTGAGTTGAATTTTGAGATTGCTGTTTCGTACTGAAGTTAGGAAAATTTTGAGCTATGAACAGTTTGCAAATGTGCTTTTAGTTATGTTTTTGTTTAGTAAATGTAATTACGTCGAATTATGTTGTTTTTGTAGGGGATTTTGATGCTAGGATTAGATTTTGCAAATTATAAGGTTTTAGGTATGGTCATTTTGCAATGTGTATCGAAGTGGTTTTTTCTTGAAAGCGATTTTTCAGGTAATCAAGTGGTAGGTTGCTTACTTTTTTTAGTATGATATCGGTACTTGCCTGTCAAAATGCATTTATCTAGAATGTGATATTACATGTCATGAAGTGGTATATTGCTTTTCAATTTTAGCATGACCATGATCTTTCACTGGATATCTTTCCTTATTGATGGTTTATTCAATTGTGCATACAGCCTGCACCTGCAACTTATGATGATGTATTCAAATCAATCTTGGACTATATTGACCATCTTGTCTCATTGGTTCGTCCTAGAAAGCTTCTGTATCTGGCCATTGGTAGGGTTTGTTCCATGTTCAGTCAATTTTCTTTCTTATTTTAGTTTTTCTTCAATTCAATATTGTCTGTTTAAAAATTTTTGTAGATGGTGTAGCACCTAGAGCTAAAATGAATCAGCAACGTACTCGACGTTTTAGAGCTGCAAAGGATGCTGCTGAGGCCGTAAGTCTTTGAATCAATTAGTGGATCTGAATTATCAGATTCAGTTGAACTATATTTTGGTTGTTTATGTTGTGTCAGGCAGCTGAAGAGGAGAGATTGAAGAAAGAGTTTGAGGAAGAGGGGAAAGCTTTGTCTCCCAAGGAAAAACCTGAAACATGTGACTCAAATGTTATTACTCCTGGCACTCCATTTATGGCTGTCTTATCTGTAGCACTTCAGTATTATATACAGTCGAGGTTGAATCACAATCCTGGCTGGCGGAATACAAAGGTGTGAAGGACATTATTTGTTTCTTGCTTCAAAGACTGGATGATTCCTTGCAAAGCGGAGTAATCCTTTCTGTATAATTTCCCCATATACTTTTGGTTTTCAGGATACTTTGTCTCTAAATTTATTTATGGGGCTGCATTGGGTGATTATTTGAAGGTTATTCTTTCTGATGCGAATGTTCCTGGTGAGGGAGAACACAAGATCATGTCTTACATTCGGTTACAACGTAACCTTCCTGGCTTCAATCCAAACACACGACACTGCCTATATGGTCTGGTGAGAGTGCATTCAACACTAGCCCCCCCACTATTCCAGATTATTTTGTGGCTTTTCCCTAAATATTTCAATTGTGGTGCTAAATTAGGCATTTGGTTTGTCATAATCAGGATGCAGATTTGATCATGTTGTCCTTAGCTACACACGAGGTTCACTTTTCAATTTTAAGAGAGGTCAGTGCCCTCCTTTGCTTAATGTCATTCTCAATTCCAAACAATTTATTGCTAATGATTGGTTGTTGATTCATTTATATTTACCGTGCAGGTGATCATTCTTCCTGGACAACAGGAAAAATGTTTTCTCTGTGGTCAAGTTGGTCATCTGGCAGCGGAGTGTCGTGGTAAGCCAGATAATGGAACCGAAGATCGGAATGCTGTCGATGATACACCTATTCACAAGAAGAAATATCAGGTTTAAAAGTTAACTCTCTCCAATTTCAGTCATACAAGTACATTTCCCCATGCCTTTATTTTTTGTTTGGCTTAAACTATGCTGATTTGATTAATGCATGGACAGTTTCTGAACATATGGGTGTTGCGAGAATATTTGCAATATGATTTGGAGATTCCCAACCCTCCATTTGAGATCAACTTTGAACGAATAGTGGATGATTTTGTTTTCTTATGTTTTTTTGTTGGCAATGACTTCCTTCCACATATGCCAACATTAGAAATTAGGGAGGTATGTAATTTCCATAGTTCCACTACCTGTTTTTTCTTTATTCTATATCATTATGCTTAGTATGAACTTTTTGCTCTTTCAGGGTGCTATAAATCTTCTGATGCAAGTTTATAAAAGGGAATTTGCTGCTATGGGTGGTTATCTTACTGATGCGGGTGAGGTAATTTGTCCTTTTTCTATGTATCTATTAAGTCTTTTTTAGAAAGTTCACTGTAAACTAAAATTAATATAATTGCATCCATGGAATATCAAGTTATCGACTGGACTTTTTATTTCTTTATTGTAAAGATGAATTGGAGTGGAGGACATACTATTCTTTGACATGAAGCATTTGTGGATTAAAGGAGAATAATGATTTCCATTTTTACTTGTTTAACGTCAAACCTGTTTTTTATCTCATCAAGAGTTGGGAATGGATTTCATCTCTAATCCAAGTCAAATAGATCTTTCTTATAGAAGTTTTACTTTCTCATCAAGAGGTGGGGTGGTGGGTAGGTTGGTGTGCATGGATACACAGTATGAACTGGAGAAGTGGAATGCAGTGCTTTGTGAATATACATTCATAAATAAGTACTCTGTCCCTTAGGCATTGACCATTTCAAGATTCTCAAATCTTGGAAAACTGTACTTTTCTTTCTCTTTGTTTCCAAAATGAATCCCATAACTAATTAATAGCAAGGTACTTTTACCACAAGAGATTGTTTACTGAAGGGAAATAGAGCTAAGATAACAATTAAGATTAACTTCCTAAATAATGGGGTGCATATATTTTGTGAGATTCAAGAAAGGAAAAGAGATATAAGGTATGTTAAGAATGGTTCTGCTATGTAAATAACTTGCTCATTTATCCTGATAGACTGTCATCTTGGTATTTTAATTTCTTTCTCGACATTAGAATTTAGAACTGGTGTTTCTCACGGTTGCTAATATATATATATATATATATATACTCTTTGCAAGTACAGGTTTCGTTAGATAGAGTGGAGTGTTTTATCCAATCTGTTGCTGTCCATGAAGATCAAATCTTTCAGAAGAGGACTCGTATACAGCAGGTGAGTTCAATCTTCCATGCTTTGATACATTATTTGCATTTCTTATCCTGTTGGAAACCCGGTCATGAAATTTGGATGGTTCTATTAAATTCTGATTTGTGAATTATTGTTTGATCATTGATGCGATGCTGCATAAGTTGGTGTTTTCAGTCATGAAGCAATGTGCAACACATTTTAGATGCTTTAAAATAACAAGTATCTTGTTTATTTTATCATTTTCGATGAGGTGGGCTTAGCTGAAAAATAATTGCTCACTTGAAAGGAGGGAAACAATCTTGGCCAAAGTATTTAATAAATCTCTATTCCTTCCAAACAACTAAAAACGTGTATGCAGAAATATGTGTAAATGTTTAAACCTGAGTGCAACCAACAAATGTGGCAACATGCCTGATATCTGGAAAGAGTATTTATCAAAAGATTCTTAGAAAAATGAAAAGGGTATCTTGTAAAGGCAAGGAGAAATATATGCTTTAAGGCTTAATTATATATTTGTAAATACTGAAGTTCAGTAAATTTGGCTTTTTCATGCAAACCGTTTTGAGTCAGATCTTTTCAATTTTTCTTAATACGATTAGATTGCATGTGTGGGCGTGTGCAACGTGCGTGCTTCACCTTTGAGCTTTTGGCTTTCTTTCCATTAGTGATTGGTGGTTTATTATGCATATCTTCCTCTGGTTCTTTTCTTTCTTATAAAGTTCTCATATTGTCCCTGAATTTTCTTACTTATGTTGTTACATGACTCATTTCAGGCATTTGAGAATAATGAGCAGATGAAGCTTAAAGCAAGAGGAGAATCCTCCGAGGAGGCACAGGCACCTGTCGTAGATAAGGTCTGTGTTATAAAACAATTTTTGGATACTTTATTACAGTCCAGGATTGAAGTAAAATGGCAGGTTTAATGTGTCTACAGATCTAATTGCTTGAGCTATGAACTAAATGAGAATTTAAGTCATTAGTAATGCCATGGTTTGAATTCTATTATACCATCGCATCAAGCTTGACCAATGCTATGAAATTCCAAACACACTTAAATTATAGCTGAAAGTAATCTGAATTATATGATAATTACTGTTCTGTTGATAAACTCAAATCTTTTGTTTTTAAGAAGTTCTCCTCTTCTGTTATGTTATTAATTTTATTGTATTTAATTTTTAGTAAATTTTGTTGGATATTATCTGATAACATTTCAAGATATCCATTTGAACTGAGAGCTTCACCTGTCCCATTGTCAGTCTTCTAACCCATAAAATAGAGAAGTGAAGGGCAAAGTTAGTGTAAGGAGAATCTCATGCAAACCCTAGATTAATTGTTGAGCAATTTGGAGAAGTACGGTGATTTTTGGTGATGAACTTCTTGTGCCATAATATGTCTACTCTTGTTTTTTTCCCAGATTAAATTAGGGGAACCAGGATACAAAGAAAGGTATTACGCTGAGAAATTTAATGTATCAAATCCAGTGGAGATTGAAGAAGTTAAAAGAGATGTTGTAAGTTTAAAAATTCTATTACATTGTAAGTTTTTTGCTACAATACCTTGTTTACCTGGTATCTTGTTAAAAGATATCCAACAGTTGTCTCTTCTCCTTGCAGGTTTTGAAGTATGTTGAAGGTTTATGTTGGGTGTGCCGCTATTACTACCAAGATGTTTGCTCGTGGCAATGGTTAGTTTGATGTGGACTGAGGCAGAAAATATTATGTTTCCTTGTACCTGCTATTTTTCATTTCATAAACTAAATGGATTAAGATTATATACCAAGCATAAACATGCCTATATGCTCTTGGCAATTGATTGCATGTTCTTTCGCCTGCTTATGCTTTCTTAAGCTACGCTTGCCCTTTTATTTTGTTTCTTGGAAAACATACTAGTTCAGGTTTCCATCATGTGTATGCATGCATTACTAGTGAGTTTTTTGGGGTTAGTAGAGGGATATTAGAAAGAGACAGAGGTATCTACTCAAAAATTTACTTCATGCTGTGCACTATCGTCTTTGCAAATTTTTGAGAAGAAGTAAATAGCAGAGTCAGGTTAAGACTTTAAACTTGGAGGTCTTGGGTTTGAACCAAAGTGCAGTGGGCTTCCACGTTACCTATGTAGATATATACATGTGTATCTATGTATGTCCATAATATGTAGTTTTGACTTAAGACTTTCTGGTATGACGTACCAAATTGTATGAAATATGCACATGTCTTGCACTATGGTTTTTACCATTTTTTTCAGTTAGTTTAAAGTTGCATCACCACGTTTGTTTCAGGTTTTATCCATATCATTATGCTCCATTTGCTTCAGATCTTAAGGATCTATCTGATTTGGAAATAACGTTTTTCATCGGAGAGCCATTTAAACCCTTTGACCAGCTCATGGGAACACTGCCAGCTGCCAGGTTTTTTCTTTTCTTTTGTATATGTATTTAGTCTTTTAACATTTTATGTTAAATGTTTTTTCTTTCTGCTTATATTTACAGTTGCCTATGCTAATGTCAATTTATCTGTCACGTTATAGTTCTGGTGCTTTGCCAGACGGATATAGGAAACTGATGATTGATCCGTCATCACCTATCTATAATTTCTATCCCTCTGGTAAAATTTTTTAACTCTTGGTGGTCTTTTTATCTGGTGAAAATTCCTTCCCTTTTCCAAGATTACTGAGATTACTCTGTGTAACAGATTTTGAGATTGACATGCATGGCAAACGCTTCGCGTGGCAGGTAAATTCTTATCTACCCAGTTAACTTATCATTTATTTTTCTTATCTGTTTCAACAACACTTACCTCTAATTTTCTTTTATCAGGGTGTTGTCAAATTGCCATTCATTGATGAGAAGAAGTTGCTTGCTGCAACAAGGAAACTTGAAGATACTTTAACGGTCTGAATTGTTGTGTTAGACTAGTATGCGTTACTCTTAAATGATGCATGCTAAATATCCTCAAGTCGTTTTCATGCACTAGCTATTTATTAAAATGCTTTTAGTTGATCCATTTTGCTAATCCTTAAGATAATATTTGCAGGTAGAAGAGCGGTTTCGGAACAGCGTGATGCTTGATCTGCTATATGTTCATCCTCTTCATCCTTTGGCTTCACAAGTTTTTCCGTACTATCAAATTAACTGTCAATTAGCCCCACATGAAAGACTTGTATGGTCAATTGACACAAATGCTAGGTTGGTTAATCAGTGTTCATCAATAGCTAAGTGTTCACATTTGAAGGAAGTTGACTTAACATCTGTGATTTGCCACCCTCATCTGTTGATTCATTTGCAGTGGTGGAATGAATGGATATCTTTGGTTATCTGACAGGAATGGTTGGCAAGGTGTAGTCCCTTCTCCTGTTAAGGGATTGCCGTATATAGCATCAAACCACGTTTTGTAAGTCTTCTGTGGTTCTATTGCTATTTTTGTCTTGAGAATTGTATTGATCCCTGTAATTCATTTCGTGCATTTTTACCTTGCAGGAATGTTACATATCTTAATCCTTCACGTCATAAACACATTCCAGAACTTCCAGAGGGTGTTATGATACCCAAAAAGGTATTTGATTCCTTACATAGCACCGGTTTTAATTTACTAGCTGCAATTAGAGAACTCAAGGATGTATGAGATTCCTCTCAAACTATTTCCTATAGTGCTCTCTTTGATGCTGAGAAACATTATGGAAGCATTGTTGGGTCCATCAACAGAGTTTATGTTTAAACATGTGCATGTTGGTCTTGCAGGTTCTAACACCGCTTGACATTAAACCTTTTCCTGTCTTGTGGCATGAAGACAATGCTGGGCGGCGCCAGCAAGGCAGAGATAGGTGAGAGTGCTTTATCTTAATTTCATGGAATATACATGATCTTAGAGCTCTGTTTATGATTTTCTATCATCCCTACTTGGAAGCTAGGGTAGAATTCAAGTCAACTTGGAATTTAGTCTTGGCCTGATCATGTGAAATGTAGTGCTAATATCTGTTCCCTTGGAAAAAGACATGGGTATTGGAAAACTAGTAAATCTTGCCATCAGTTTAGTGTCTTTGCTGGGATTCAGAGTGTCCTCAGAATTATTCAAGGGCCTCCAAATTGCAGATGGTTATTAAAAATTTTATTGCTGAATTTGTTTGACAGGCCACGAGTACCTGGAGCAATAGTTGGCCCTCAGCTAGGAGAGGCAGCTCATCGTCTTGTCAAGAACACTCTTAATATCAAATCGAATGGCTCATCCTCTGGGTGGGGGGAGCAACCACCAATTTTTAATATCTCAAACAACTACTCAAGCATTAGACCAAGACCTGCTGGACCATCAGGTTATGAAAGGGGCTTTTTTGATGACCCCAATCATTATTATAGCAGTCGGCCACGACCAGCTGGACCGCCAGGTTATGAGAGGGGATATGGCGATGACCCGAATCATTATGGACGATACTATAATCCACCAGGCATAATGGGTAACCCAAGACATCCCTCATCAAATGGCATGCAAAGTATCAGAAACAACTTCAGGGCACAGGACAGATTACAGAATCAGGAACGTCATCGTGATTTGAGGACTGCAATGTCTGCTTTGACATTGGATGGAAGTGCCAAAGGTAGAGCACATGCGGAGATGTCTTCACAGATGCCAAATTCTGGATACCCACAAAATTTAGGCCACCAGACCGAGCAGAATAGTGGTGCTCTTCCCACACCACCTACCAAGTGGATTAATAAACCGGTGAATGTAAATACTGGAACTTACTTAAAACAAGAAAATGCATCAAGTGGAGCTTACGAGAAGCAGATGAAGAAGGTTTATCAGATGAAGACTCGTCCACAGGAAATGACAGGCCCCGTGAACCAGCAGTGATCATGATTCCAGATGGACTTGCCCGTCTTTTGACACAGGCATGTCCATATAACAATAGCAAGTCTTTATTGGGTAATATTTATCAGCAGTTCGCTTAACTTTGATATCCAGTCACATGTTGCCTCCTGATATGTCATCCTGAGAAATTAACCACTAAAAGAACTTGCTGTCATGTGAGCACCATGTTACCGTATGGCTGAAGCAATGGTTTGGGTAATTAGAATTTGAGAGATTAATCAGAGTCTGTAGTTGTGTCAAACTTAAAGAATCTCCGTTTAATTTGATTATTCGTAGGTTTCTAGGAACACGTCTTAGTTGTTGGGGATTAAGCAGAATCTGTAGTTGTGTCAAAATTCAAGAATCTCCATTTAATTTGATTATTCATAGGTTTCTAGGAACACGTCTTAGTTGTTTGGGATTCTACTCAAAACTAGGACACTGAGTGTTGTGTCGACGTAGGAACCGGAGTTAGATTGTCATTTGAAGTGAACTGCTTAAGCATTTTCTTTAATGTGTACAAGTTGTATAATAGGGCATCATGATTGTAGGCTGTTGATCTAGGGTGATAAGAATCTCAACTGTTGTCATTATTTTCAGTATACACAGGTTCACATTGTGTTGAATACCTGAGCAGAGAAACTGTAATTGTTATAATATTCGTCGTTCCAAGTTTACGTTTTGCCTACTCTCTATTGCAACACTTGGATAGATAGGCTCAAAGTTTAAAGATTTTGACTTTGTATGGAGCTCCTAGTTGAGCTTATTCAGGAAGAAGTGATTGTATTGTATTGAAATTATGTAAATTGTCTTCCCAAACATTTCATTTTTGCCTTGAATAGCTCTTCTTTGTTACCTTTCTCCTAGTAGGATATTATCTTTTGAAAGTCTTTATGAAGTATTTTCCCAAAGTCAACATGTATCTCAATTAACTTTAATTAAATAATTTGTATAATTTTCTTTTTAATTATAAGATGCTAGAGTCATAAATTTTACATCGAAGAGAGAGTTCTTGAAGGGGAGTCGATGAAGGATGTCAATCTTAGAAGTAAATCATAAATCTCGTATCAGTTAAGAGGTCATATCATTTTTGACGAGTTAAAGTTAATAATACTTAATAAAAATTAGTGTGGATCATGGCAATGTCTAAGATAGTTAAGAGGTCGTTTTAAGGAGGTCATAGAGGTGAGATGAGTAACAATTTCAACATGTACATGTGTGTTCAAGAAACACATCGTTACATGTTTATCAAACGTATCTCACGTTGGCACGCATAGGTACTTTGAAGTAGTCTTTAGTCGTGGCAAGGTTGTACAGATTACAATGCTGTGATAGTTTTAGGTTTTCACAGATTGAGAGTGCTAATCTATTGCCTTGGCTAGTTGTTTCAATCCATGCCTTGGTTTAACAAGAAGGAACAAGTATCTCTAAGGGCAGGCCAGACTGCCAGAGAGTGATCAATCTTTTTACTTAATAGTTTCAAAATTAATGTAGGTGAAGAAAGAATTTCAAACTACCAAAATGAAGCAGCTTTCCATTTTTGTTTCCTATTATAATATTTTCTACTAGACCTCCAAGCAATTGATCTGAAACCTAACCTATATATGGTAACAGATTCAGCTATGATTGGCACAGATGCTGATACCAGAGAGCAAATTTCAGGCTTTCACCAAGACATCCACAAAGCCTGAATCAGAAAATGAGATACCTATGAAGGCAGGAACAGAAGGATGAATGGATGAAATCTTTTTTCTATTTGCAAAAATACCACAGAAAATATTATGCTTTTAATTATGCTACAAAGAGTGCAATACAGGAACTCCTTATTGCAAAAAGTAACCACTCAAGAAGAGCAAGAAAAAGAAGAACAAGGATCCATATATTAATAAAGCTTTTTGTCCAGAAGTAAGAGCATTCCCTCCCAATCCGAACTGCAGGTTCTGTGCAAAACCTGCAATCTCCACACGCTTACTGTCGAAGAAACTCTGTGCAGCCCCGCAAGTAGGGCATCTCCAATCTTCAGGCAACTTGTCAAACTGAAGCCCTGGTGGTATCGGGTACGAAGGGTCACCCACTGCTTCATCATACTTGAACCCACACGACCTGCACTCGTAAATCCCCGTGTTCAACACTGCGAACTTTTCTTCTAACCTGCGTTTGTCAAACTTGTTTTCTTTAGTACCAGATTCTTGGGATGGTGGGGGTTGGTTCTCTTGTTGGTCTGAAGCTGGTGGTGTGTCTTGGCTGTCTTCTTTGGAAACATCAACAGAATGGATGGTGAAATGCAGTCGCTTTCTGCGGGGTTTTTTGGTGGTGAGTGAAATTGTGGAGAGCACCTTTGGGGAGAGGAAGAGATGAGGTTTTTGTGGTTTTGGAGAAGCTTGGGTTAATTGGTGGAAAGAGAAGGTGAGTCTTGTTGTTGCACAAGCCATTTCAATGGAGTTTTCCCTTTCTTTTTTTTTTTTTGCTTTTTTCCTGTTTTGGGTTTTGTTCAGTTAGTTAATTGATGATTTTTTGGGTACTGGGTGGAGGAGAAATGAAAGGGATCCATGGAAGGGCAAATGCTGTTCCTTTGAGGAGGAGTTGGATAAGGTGGAGAAATGTTTACCAGAGGTACTACATTCTTCTCATGGGCTGATTTTGGGTTTGACTTAGGTCCAAGTAAAGCCCATTTCACTTTTGTTTACTATTATAAATTCTCAATCTTAACAACCAAAATGTGCTACTTAAAGCCTTCCTTTAGGAAAATCTGTAATTTGAGAAATTTTTTTAACTACCCAATAGGCATTACATTTGAAAAGGTTATTAAATTATTTAAAAATTTTAAATAAATTTTTATTTTTTATTATATTTAATTAAATTCTTATATTTTTATTTTAAATCAAACAATTTTTATACTTCTATTAATCAAATATTATTTATTTATTTTTTTGTAAAAAGAGAAATTCAATTAATCAAACATTAACTTGCACCATTAAAAACACTAATGATCATGTCATTATATCACATTAATATTTCACATCATCATTCGTATGATATTATCATATTATATTAATATCATATGATATGTAATGATAAATGACATTTTAATTGATAACAATTAATAAATCAACTATTAATTATAAAAATTTTATTAAATGTAACTAAAAATAAAAATTTAGTATAGTTACACTATTAATTAACGATTGACTACCATTTTCGTCTTTGCTCAAATGAGTAAACCTTTTTAATGATTAAATGTTGGTAATCTTTAATTATATTAGTTTGAGCAACCCAAATCCAAGCTAAGGATGTCAACATGTAGAATATTTATTAATTTTGAAATACCCGAATCCGAACTCTATTAATAAATAAAGAACCTGAATCTCAAATTACTTGAAATTTTTTAAATTTACTACTCTACTCGAACCCTAATACATACCCATATCTGACCCATTTAAAAACCTGATTATACAAAAAAAATTATTAAAATGCTCTTCATGGGTATACAATTATCTAAATCTAAATCCGTATCTGTTTACAATAATATTTTTTATTCATATTTCCTATACATCACTAATAATTATACATCACTAATATTTATTAACGATTGACTACCATTTTTGTCTTTGCTCAAATGAGTAAACTTTTTAATGATTAAATGTTGGTAATCTTTAATTATATTAGTTTGAGCAACCCAACAATCAAGCTAAGGATGTCAACATGTAGAATATTTATTAATTTTGAAATACCCGAATCCGAACTCTATTAATAAATAAAGAACCTGAATCTCAAATTACTTGAAAATTTTTTAAATTTACTACTCTCACTCGAACCCTAATACATACCCATATCTGAACCCATTTAAAAACTTGATTATACAAAAAAAATTATTAAAATGCTCTTCATGGGTATACAATTATCTAAATCTAAATCCGTATATGTTTACAATAATATTTTTATTCATATTTCCTATACATCACTAATAATTAAATTCTATAAATACATAAACAATAAAATTTAAATTTAAATAATCAAAAATAAATATTTCGAATATTAACTTAAATAACTAAGAATAAATATCCAAACAACTTAAATAACATTACAAATTTAATTCATTATATGAGTTTATCCTTAATTAGATGAATTAAAAAAAACAAATAAGTTCTAAAACTATTTTAATCTCACAATTTTTTTTAAAATTTATGTTATAATTTTATATAAATAAAAAAATATATATTATAAATGATAATTTTTATAACATTAATATAAAATAAAAAATAAATATATTTATATTTAAAATATATATACTAAAAAATATATATAAACTTACAAAATAACTTATCCCTATATAATCGAATTGCATATCTACAAATACCTATAAAAGGTACTCATTGTCATCCTTATGCCAGGCGTAGCTTGTTCCCTAAGCTTGCAAACCCGCTGACCATTATTTTTTCCTCTGGTTTCCTTTCATCTTTTCCAGGTTTTTACTAGGGAGAAGTGCATTAAAGCGCAAATCTCCTTTCTTTTATTCCCCAGTCCACCTTTTCCTTCCCTCAAGGCTCCATCCCAAAAGATAAAACTTGCCAAAAAGCTTCTTTTCTCTCTCTTTTTCTTTTCTTTCTGCACCGTGGTAGAGTGGTATATACTTTATGCCACCACGCTCAAGTCATTCACAAACAGAAATAAAATGTGCCCTCAAGAAGTTTCTAACACTCGTTAACATCTGTCTGTCTCAAACAAACTATATTTCCTGAGAAGGCCATAAGTACCAGGTCTACTTCCGACTACCGATATCCCCAGAACATGAGCAGGCATCGAAGCAAATTAAAAACAAATGCAGGGGAATAGTCAAGTATTGGTACCTTAGAGATTCAGCTATTGGACTATCAACATTAATGATATTGAAGCAGCTTCAGCTGAAAATTAGTAGCTCTAGGAATCATATCACGTAAATTACAATAGTTGCATGTTTTACAGGAAACAGGTTAAAGGTCCGATATGAAATAAGTTTCCCAAGTGGTACACAGATACAAGGGAATTGCTAATGAATACAATCTGTGTAAATATTAAATGCATGGCATGCTCTTCTGAGCTGTCTCAGGACCATTGCCTTTCTAAGGTAGTGAATGATAATTATCTAGGTATCTCTAAATTCACAAACCACAATCACAAGCATTTCGTAGGGACAGCATTACAGTCTTTTTTTAGAATCTTACAACAAGTTTGCAATTAATAATGGAATGTAGCAAGCATAAGAAATTATGCCAAGCAATCAGAAACCATTCTCATAGGAAGCAAATGATTCGTTGAAAATGATTCGTTTCAACGCTACCAAGAATTGACAGGCAGGAGTGAAGGAAAGACATTCCCGACCCTTTTCTCCCTCCATCCGACAAATTTCCACTCACCACAAACAAATCACAACTATTAAATGGAATTTCAATTAAAATACAGTAACTTTTTACACAACAATGTAGTAAAATGGCAACTGTTGAATCCATTCTGCAGATTCTACAATGTCAGAGCTCGCATTAATGATAACATCTGTCTTTTATTCTAAGCAAGTCATCCCAACCCATGTATAAAAACCATATATACACAAATGAGAACAACTAGAACAAACTATTGATGGAAAGACTAAACAATTAGAAATCATTATTCTGATAACTGTTCATTTCTATCGAATAAACATTAAAAAAAAAGGGAACACAAAAACCAGTTACTCCCCTACACTAAACCCAAAAAGGAACTCAAAAACCAGTTACTCCCCTACACTATCAGCTATCCATCAATAACCAAGAAATCTTTCATGGAAATAAGCACCCATATTCCAATATCACCCTCCCATCGATCGAAGCTCCTCCAAAGCTGCCTTAATCTGATCCTGCACCAACTCCAACCGCTTGGAATAGACCTCCAACTCCAATATCTGCTGCTTCCGCCACCTCTCATCCATCCACTCCCCATTACCCCCACCACCACCGAAATTCATACTTCCTCCAAAATTCAAAGGCATAGCATTCATTGCCAATCCACTGATCCCTCTTCCTCCACATCCCCCTCCTCCTCCTCCAATTACACTACCTAACAACTCCTTAAACAAGGGTGTTAAGCAACTCCTCACCGTCTCCTCTATTACCCCCGCCACGTTCCCTCCTCCTCCACCACCACCACCAAATCCCTCCACAATACCATTATCATTAGTACTCCTATTATTGAAATTGTTATTATTATTATTAGCAATCACAAATCCATCATTTAAAACTCTTTTCTCCTCCATTTTTCCTCCTTTACTCCTTGACCTTTTCTTCGAGGCTGCGGATTTCGGCGTAAAATTCTTTTTCTCTCCGCTTTCATCAATTAAATTAACATTGTTATTATTATTTTCATCATCATCTAAAACATTATCTTCTACTTTTCCAACACAATTACTCCAGATCTTTCTAGAAATTTCAAAAGTAGCTTGATCATGAGGGCTTTTGAAGGAAAAATCTTTACCTGAACTGATCTTATTCATCACGTTTCTATATTTCTTCTTCAATCTTCGAAGCTTCTCGACTAATTGATTCTTGTTGAAATCCAGCTGGAGCTTCGATTTGATTTGATCATAAAACAGCGCCGTATCATGATGATGATGATGATGAGAAGAAGAAGAATTCGAGGTTGTTTTGAAGATGAATAATCGAGAAACCCTTGAAGAAGCTCGATCTCGTCTTCGTCAGTCCACAACCGCTGAAATAACCGTCGCGATTCATCGAATTGCGACGGCGGAGGAGGTTTTTTCTCCGTTACGGCGGATTCAATTCGTTGGCGTTTAGATTCAGGGGGTGATTCGTCATTTGGAACGGCTGCAATGGTTCGGCGGTAGCAGAAGGGACGGCTAGAGGAACAGCGGGGATTGCGGCGGATGATACGGCGGAGGCGGCGGCAGCGCTCGGTTGAGGGAGTAAAGAGGGGAATTAATGTCCTCTTCCTCTTCTAATAATTCTTCGTCTTCTTCGTCGTTTAGAACGTCGTCGTTACCATTGAGGACGTCGTCGTTTTCGTCCAGGTCGTTGTCGGAGGAAGAGGGTTCCTCGTCGTCGTCCTGAGATTCCTCAAAAACGGCATCGTACTGCTCCGAAGCCATGAGAGGAAAAAAGAAAGAGAGAAAACTGAAAGAGGATCACGAGGATTCGCAGATTAAAAAGCGTGTTGGACTTTGTGATGGGTGGGGTGGTGGTGGGGGAGGGTTAGTTTTGGTTAGAGGTAGGCCGTGTGGGGGTGTGTGAGAGAGCGAGTTGTAACAGTTCAACGCGCTTACTAGGCGCGTGTTCGGTCCATGAAAATGGAAATTTAAAACTTAGATGGAAAAATCAAATCAAGATTTCTTTTTATTTCCATTTTAATGACATGAAATGTTATATTCTCTTCGATTTTCCCAAAAGAGAAATTAAAAAAAAAACAAAGAAACAGAAAGATTTAGCACGTACATGTTGACTTAATTGATAATATGGTAAACCATCAAGGACATTATTTTAATATCAAAAAATATTTTAAAAAATTTTATACATTATTTTTTAAAACATAAACCAAGTCGTTCTTCCAAAGATGGAGCTAAAGAATTATCGTGTGGTATATGTATAAAATTTAATATATATATAGTATTATTATTCTTATTATTATTAAATTTTGATATAAATCTCAAAATTAAAATTTTAAAAATTATACAATATGCCTTTTTATATGCCAAAGTTCGTGTTATCCATGGCATTGATCTTTCTTTCTTTTATTTTTTTAAACCTTGAGGTTGCTAGGAGGCTTCTCAATTATTAAAAAAATAAAATATGAGATATTTATGTGTTTAATTAAAGCCTGCTTGGAAGTTACTTACAAGAGCTTCATATGACTTTTTCTTCCCTAGTTGATGTCAATGTGAAACAACTTGATATTTTTGGTATATACTTTTCCAACAAGGACGAGGAAGATTGACTAAGTTTTTCCATATTAGTTTTTGTAGCTTACCTTGTAACTTCAAATTCTTCTTTTAAATTAACTTTTTGGTCAGGTTATTTAATTATACTTTTTTAAGAGAAATATTAATCCGCACTTATTGATAACAATATTTTAATTATTTTTATAATAAAAGTTGTAATTAATATTTTTTTTTCTTAATTTAGTGAAGATTGTATGTTAACTAATTTTTTATAGTATTTTAACTATTAATTTTTTCTGTCAAGTTATTTGATTATAGTTTTAAGGGAAATGTTAATTGATATTTAAGGATAATTTTTCAAAATAAATATTTTTAAAATCGTGAGTATTTAGTTTTTTAAAATTTTTAAATTTATTTATTAACTAGATAATAATATTTGATTCAATGATCATGTATGCAATCCATGCACTGACAATGTACCAAATATACACGTTAATATTAAAATATAAAATTTTTTCCTTCTAATAATAGGTTTATGCTCTATAATAAAAATGTTATATAAGTAAATTAAAATCCGAAAACTTCTCCATTTTGTGTTGATGTCTTTGAAGAAAATCTAAGAAACTTTATACTTATAAATTTCATAATTTTTATAAAATTAACATATGGTTTTCTCCTAAATATGTAAAATGACAAGATCTAATATTCATCTTTTTACTCCAAATTAAGAGAATTTTTTTTGAATTTATATATTTAATGTATTATTAGGATATAGAATCTATATATTGTCAGTGTATAGTTGTTACACTATTAATAAACCCAACATTATCATATCATTAATAAAAAAAATAAAATTGAAACCCTTCAAAATAAATACTCATGATTTTTAATTCTTTATTTTGAAAATTTTTTTAATTTTTATTTTTTTACATTTACGAAATGATACATGATCAATAATTGGTAGTGTATAAATACTATATAAAATGTAAACTAAAAAATATTTATTTTAAAATTTTATCTTTTATACAATAAAGAGAAAGCATGAATCTTTGACTAAACTAATAAATATTCAAACAAGGGCTTATGACTGGCCATTAGTCGTAAAAAGCAAAAGAAGGATTATTTTATTAAAAAAATTAAAAAAGAAAAGCAAAAAAGGCCAAAAGATACAACGTGACGTGGACACGAGATTGCCTAGATTTTTACGTGGCAAAATATAAATGGCTCGAACACATCCTCTTTTTAAGGATGACGTGCCCGGATCCCTATATATATATATATATATATTTATATCCGTACGGACACTCTCCGATCACTCTTGGGAAAGGGAAAAGCTGCGTCCTCTTAAAAAAAGTTTCTACAGTCGTCCGCCATTGGAATTTTGATTCCCAAATCCTAGCCCCTTCTCCCATTTCAGTAAAAACCCTAAGCAGCATTAATCCAGATCTAAACCCTTAATCATCACAGATTAATCTCTTTGATCTTCTCTAATACCAGGTTTTACTCTACATTTACCTTTTTAATCCTTTTTAACTTGTCATTTGTATGTGTTTTTGATTAATAACATAACCTAATAGTAGTGTATATTTTAAATTAACTGCACGAATTAAGTTTGATATTAATTAGATAATTGATTCGATAGAGCATTTTTTTTTATTTAATATTATAGGAAGTAATATAAAAATGATATTTGTTTCTTGCGAGTGACGTAAGTATTCAAGTTTGATCATATTGAGATTATAATAATTATAAAAGAAAAGTTTGTGATATCTGTTTAACGGAGTGATTATAAGCTAATAATTCATGTTTGTTATGTTGAGTTTAAAGAAATTATTGCATTAAAGATTTTAAAATGCATAAAGGAATTGATCATTGTTTTTATGTACAGTATTCATTTATTTTGTTGATGCTTAGATTGGAATTTTTTGATTGACAAAGAGAGACAAAAAGGAGGGAATGGCAACTCCAATGCCACCGGGGCTACCAAGGCAACCCCCACCCTCGACTCACAATCCAAATTTCCAGCAAAACCCAGATTCTTTATCAGATAATTTGCAGAAGTTGAATATCAATAAGCCTACTCTTCCCCCATTTATAAGATCACCACCACCCCCCTCCACCTCAGCTCCTTCACCACCAATTTCACGCCCTGGTGCACCACCCCCAGGGGTGGTTCCCAGACCCAATATGCCTCCAAATGTTGGTTCAGTTATACCTTTTGGGGCACCTGGTGGACAGCCTTTGCCTTTTGAAACTAGATCACCTCCAGGGTCTTTACCTTCTTCAAAGGGGGGTGGTCCAGTCATCAGTCCAGTTGGTTCAAATGCACCCCAATTGATTGCTCCACCAAGTGCTTTTGTACCTCCTTCAAGTGCATTGGGTGGTTCAATTAGAAATGGTCCACCAGTTGGGGTGCCTCCACCAATGATGGGAACAGTTAGGTCTCCTGGTCAGGCTCCTAACATGGGGTCTTTTCTTGGGAGCCCTCAGGGTAGTTATCCACCAGGTCCTCGTATGCAATTGGCTTCCCCATTTTCAGCACCATTGGCTGCTCCATTTGGGACACAGACACGGTCACCAGGGCAGGTAAGCATTTTATCATGGTTTATCTCTTCACATTGCTAAGAGAATTGGATTTGAGTTCTTTCTCTTTTTCCTCTTTGATGTATATGGTGCATTGCATTATTGGTTAAATTATGACTTTGATTTTATATTAGAATCGTTTGGCTCTGTTGGATAGCTTAAAGTATATAGTACAGAGGAAGTAGGAAGCAATCTCTATGCAATGCTATTTTCCAAGAAAATGTGTGTCTGCCTGATTTGAGACACAAGGGAAAAGAAATATGTAAAATAGAAGTGGGACAAATCAGGACATCTGACTTTCCATTTTTAAAACAGATGGTTAATCTTTGTAATTGTGATAGATTTGATGTTTGGTTGGTGTAATAATTTAATGTAAAAAGCTCAAAGATGTAGTTGCAGAATTACTCTTTAGGATAGAATATTATGGTGCCGAATAATTTCATCGTTCATGATGAAAGTTCAAATACCCTAAGTACATTCCAGTTAACTTGTGGAATCTTCTACCAATGTTGATATTTTCTCCTGTATGAGGGCATCACCAGAGTTAATATCTACAATGGAATTCGGTGGTTAGTTATTTTATAATTTCATAGCTGGTTTTGTGAAATTTAATGAGGTGGTATTGACAGCTTTTTAACATAAAAGTTTACCATCGTTGAACTTGGCTAAAAGCTTATGAGAGGTGTGTATCATATAAAGTAAGAGAAAATGAGCTTTTCTGAACCATTTGGTTCTTCTGATAGTTTTAACTTTCAACTATCAATGACTAGCTAGTACATTTATTATGTTTTTAACCCCAGAATTTGAGAATTTATTCTGGTGGGAGTATTTGCTGTAAATAAAAGTGACTGCTTTCTTTGAGAAAAATTCTTCATTTCATCCTCTCAATTGCTTTAGGTGGCCCTGCCTGCTGCGGCACCTGATGCTTTGCAACCACCTAGAATGTTCGGAATGCCACCTCTGCAACCAAACCAATTATCCCATGCCATTGATCAAACAGGGACTAGTTTGGAAGGCTTGAGGAAGTCTAACTCAGATCAAGTCCCAAGGCCCAGTCCAAGTTCCTCAATAATTCTGCACGACACTCGTCAAGGCAATCAGGCCAATCCTCCTCCGGTATCGCATCTGATCCTTAACTCCCAAAATATAAGAAGAAAAAACTGCTAAATTAAGGTTTTATTATTATTATTTGGTTGTATTATTTTTATTTCTAGGTTTTATTTTCCTCCTCCCCTCCCTTTTTCTCATCTTTGTTTGTTAATTTTAATTCTATTGATGTTGTTCCATCATGCATTATTTGTTTCCTTGAAAAGCCTGCTACTAGTGAGTACATTGTCACAGACACTGGAAACTGCAGTCCACGCTATATGAGATGCACAATCTATCAGGTTACGGTCAAACTTATGATATTCATATGGACAATTAATTTCATATTTTAAGATAATATATAAAGAATGTTGTATGAAATGATTTGTATCACTAACATGATCTCATTCCACATTTTGACAGACGCCTTGCACTGCTGACCTTTTAACAAATTGTGGCATGCAATTTGCATTATTGGTTCAGCCTTTGGCCCTTCCTCAGCCATCTGAGGAGCCCATTCCGGTATTCATTCTTTCTTCTGAAACATGTATGTGCTACATCTGGCATTTCTGTAACTCAGGTTTCTTTTTTGTTCATTCCTAAGAGGATTAAAGAGAAAACAGTTATTTTGATTTCTT